AACTAGTTACCTGATTGCATTTGACCTCACAGTTCTATATTGAAGTTTATTTTCAATTGCATAATTTTTCATCACAGATTTCAAAGTGGCTTTGTTCTTATACACTTGGTCAATCTCCACGTACTTATTACAAGGATCTGAAATGACTCCATCGCAGCTCCCTGACCCCAAGACACAAAGCGACTCTAACAATTCACCAATTGACAGCTGCATAGTCTCAAAATCAGCAATACCATCATTACAAATTGATGTAACCATATCATTCTCATGATTTGAACTTTCACACAGTTCAGTGATATTGCTACTATTATCCATTTTGCTTATACAAATTGGATACTTGTTGAAGTCATCTGCAGCCTTTTTAAGCATGATATACACTCTAACACCCATGTCGTTGTGAATCAACATTGGCGTTTTGCTTTTTTTAACCTTATACTCAATTTTCAGCTTAATCACATTTGTATCAACACCGAGTTGCATTGCAATAACATTATATAACTCCTTATACGATGAACTTTCTTTAAAAATCACCCCCTCAATTGTATAATCAACGTAACAATTGTCATTGTCCCATCTACCGGAATGCATAACCAAAATAGCTAACGAAGCCATTTTCAAAATTTCTGTATAAAAAAAAAGTTATATATACATTTATACTATTAAGAATTTCAACAACAAACATAACGTATATTTATACAAATTCTAGCAACTTCAGTTATTCACATATATACATATTCCAATTACATACTCATAGAAACATTTATATACACATTCTACATATACATTTATATATAAACAATTATATACACAAATTATAACTTTATACACAATTATACAATTTCATACAAGTGCAGTGTTATTGTTACTTTCACAGAGTACAAATTTTTGCATTTGTATAACAGTCATATATCCAAAATTATGATGAAGATGCACTGTATAAAACATACACAATAGTTTCTTATATGTATTATACATATCTTACTGAATCATATCTGAAAACCTATACGTAGAAACTCTAAGCAAATATACAAATTCGAACACAAATATTACTGTGAAATGAGCAAATCTCATATCACAAATTCAAAATAATCAACAAGTTCATCCAAAAAATTTCCAGATCACAAATTTTTCTAGATTACAAATTAACTATACAAATGATAAGTGTTAAACTCTATTTCGAACAAAATATACACCTCTCAATATACATTCAACTTAAATTGATGATAGTTAAAAAGGAAATCTAATTTTGAATACATGTTGAACACCATCTTCGACCTAAAAAAGCAAAATCAGAGTATGTTTTCTTCATGAAATTACCTCCTATTGCTATCTCTACAGTCCAATGATCTCGATTGTTTGTGTAGTACCGTCAATTGCTTGATCAATTTTCTGAATTGAGTTACAATGGAGTTCTTACTATTGAAGAAGATGAAGAAGGAAGGGAATTCGAATGGAACAGAACGTGCGTGACTTCAGTGATTTTTTTCCTTTTTTTTCTAACCGAAATTAACGCCCTTTTCTTTTTTAAACTATCAAAATGTATATAAAAAAAAATGACAAGCGAATATACAGAAAGACAAGTCCATAGCAAACTTTAATTTTGCTACGGACTGTAATTTTACAAAGTTTGTTATAGCATACAATTAGCAATTTTTATTGGGTAAAAAACTTAAGTATACAATTTAAGTACCTTAATTACTACTATATAACAATATATATATTTTCACTTATATAGCAATAGTTTTTTTACAAAACTAGAATTTATATATATATATTTTATTTATTTTTTATTTATTTATTTATTTTTATATATAAAAAAAAAGAAACGTAGAATGAGTCACCCACCAAATCACATATCCCTTAATTTTCTCCAATTCTTTTACCTTCCCTGATTTACTCAGATTTGTTAAATATTCTCTCCCAGGAAGAGAGATTTCTAACAAAAATAAAACTCTCTGACTACTTTGATCGACAATTCAAAATGGATACCAACAATTTTTCAATTTTAATACAACACAACAGGCGATGGGATTCATCATGTATGTGAATAAAAAATGATTGAATTGGTATTTTTTACGTTGCTAATATTTTTATTTTTCACACCGTCGATGTTTAATGTTTTCGATAATTATTCGTTTGTTTATATTGTACGTCATTGTGGTGTATCATAAAATTTATATGATTTGATTATTAGCATGGTGCATCTAGTAATCTTTTAGGTTTAATAGCATGGGACTCATCACATACGTTTTTTGGTATAAATTTAGTTTTTTTTTGTTATATTATTAGGTTTAAGTAATATTTTTTTCTACGAGTGATATTTTTTGGTGGTATAGTAAATCAACTTTGGTGGTTATTAAACAGCCGATTCATTGAATATTTTTTGGTATAACTTTATGTTTAATTGATTACCACACCAAGATAAGTTATTGTGAGTATAAAAACACCTAATTCAAAATTTTCTTATTATTTGTGATCTTGTTAAATTGGTATGTTTAATTGATTGCCACACCAGTTGGTTTCTTATCAATATGGTGTTATTGTTAATAATTATACCTTATACAAATACCAACTTCAAGTTAAAATTCGGGTACATGTATTGGTGTATCTAAATTGAGAAATTCTTTTGGTATGTGATCAGATGTAATTGGTATGGTGTATGTCTTATTTTGGTGTCTTATACAAAGACCAACTTCAACTAATATTCTGTTGGTGAATTTGTTTGTCTGACTAGTGTGATATCGAATTCTATACCTTAATTCTCAATTACATATGGTATTACTAATTTGGTGTAAATTATTTGGTGTAATTGATATTGTGAATAATGTTTTGGTGTGTGATTTGGTGAGTGAAATGGTAAGTGAAATTGTGGTGTCTGATTTGATAAGTTTTTTGATGTCTAATTTTGTAAGTTTTTTGGTGTCTGATGTGGTAAGTTTTTTGCTATGTGATTTGGTAAGTTTTGTTGTAAATATTATTGTACATCAAATTGGTGTATTAATTTGTCTGAATTTGTATATAACATGTTTAAGAAATATTGAGTTGCATATTTTGGTGTAGTTGATAGTGTAAATTATGACTTGGTATATGAAAAGTAAGTGATTTTGTAAGTGATAGTTACCAATTGTGGTGCGTGATTTGGTGAAAATATATTTTCAGACAACTAAATCAGTTCTTGTAAGTCATTTCCAGCATGCCTATCTGTAAATATAATGGTACATTTATTGGTGTATTAATTTGCCTAATTTGATTTATCTAACATGTTTAAAATTTTTGGTATGACAACTACTTATTGGTGTAAGGCATCGCAAAAGTGTTATGTAGTTTTGTTTTTGGTGAAAATGTTGGTCTGGCAACTACTTAAAAACAACACCCCTTTGTATACCATTAATTACCATACTAACTACCAAATTGTGTTATCAGTTATGTAGTTTTATTTTTGGTGAAAATGTTGGTCTGATAACTACTTAAAAACAACACCCGTTTGTATATTATTAATTACCATACTAACTATCAAACTGTGTAATTTAATTTATGTACGAAATGCATTCTGCTAATTTGTTAAGTTGATTGATAATTTGTAATTTTATACAGGTAATTACGTGGATTATGATATCGAAGGAGTGATGTATGATGCAAACACCAAATACGAAAGCTTTATTAATACTATATCTCCCCAATTGGGCGTGGACACGATCATATTTTATTTAGAACTCAAATACGTCGTGAGTGGTCCATCTCCACCAATAAAGATTCATAATGATATGGGTGTCCAAGTTTATTTAGATCAAAAGAGATTCAATTCTGATTTCATTTCAAGATATCCCTCATGTGTAACATGTGTTGATAAAGCTATGAGTTGAATCTTGTTGATTGATGAGGAATTGATGAAAATAAATTCATTTTTTTCTTTACCTATTTTACAATCATCTCTTCCGCCTTTTTTTTTACCAGAGTTTGAGTAAATGCGTTCAACTCAAACGAAGGTCTAGAACTTATGATGGGGGGGGGGGGCTATCCATCTAAAACAATATAATAAACTAAGAAGTTGAAGATGAAGAACAGCAAGGAGTTAACAATGGTGCAAGAATTATAAAACTCAACAATGGAGAAACAGAGAAAAGAAGGAAGATGAGAGAAGGAAGAGTTCTAGAAAGCGTGACTAACCAGAGAAGGAGAAATATTGAAAAGAATAAAAAAAAATTACTTTTTACCTTACCTAAATTGTGTCATATAAGGTATAAAATAAAAATAAATATTATATTAAAAATAAGTAACTTGTAAAAATAAGAAATAATTATGGAAATACAAAAAGTTTTTACTTTGGGCAGATTGCATAAAAAATAAAAATAAAAACAAATATTTATTAAAGGCAGTAACGTGTGGAATTAAAAAAGTATCCATAAATGTAGGCACGAATTTCTATAAGGAGGGAGAGAGAAAATTTGGAAACTGAATAATTAACTTAAATTGGAAAATTAATTAAATTGTTAAGTTTGTAATTTTGAAACTATATTTGTAATTAAATATAAGTATAGGTATATACGGTTAATTAAAAACTTAAGTTGTATTTTATAGTAATTTTTCCTTTTTTATTTGCTATATGTAAAATTTTCTCAAAAAAGTATGTGGTTAACGGGTCAAGTTTAGGTTTGAATGCAATTGGCCCACCGACCTTCTACTGACGCATGCCAAGACGTAAGCCCATATAAGGAATTGAAGCTGTTTGTCTACAGATTTGCAATAACTAGGATAAACGAGACAAGTTAATGCATTATAAGTCAGCTTATTCAACGGATTAGAGGGTTGCATATCAAAATCCAACCTTGAATTTTGTGGGCTTGACCAATTCAAATACTAGGTTTGAATGTGGTTAACGGGTCAAGTGCAATCGGCCCACCGACCTTCTACTGATGCATGCCAAGACGTAAGCCCATATAAGGCGGCCCAATCAATTCATTCACCTATTAAAGAACGTTAAATTAGGGTTTTCTTATAATTTCGTCTTTCTCAAGCCGCCGCCGAACAATTCCACACACAGAATTAGCGATGGGGCGAAGTAAGTTTATTTTCTCCCAATTTTACGTTAATTACTCATATCTTTTCGGTTTTAGCTTATTACTGTTCTTAATTTTTCTAAAAAAACTTGTTAAGATCTAGCTGTTTGTTCATGGCTTCTGTGTTGTTTTACCAATTTTTGCTGAAATGATACATCTGATTTGTGGCCTTTTGCCTTGTGTGATTCGGTACGTAAGTAGATGTAGAGAACTCTGTTTATTGTTAAGACTAGTTATTGCTGAGCGATTCCAAAGGCTGCAAATGGAGGAGAATGGATATTAGGATTTTTTTATATAAAAAAGGTTGTGGGAGAGTATCACAACGTGCGGAGTGGAACTCTGACCAATTAAGTTGTTGAAAGTTCAGGTAGGTAGTCAACTAGCTGAATTACTAAGATTCCCCAATATTAGTATTCATATAGAGATTAATTCAGTAGTTGAAGGTTCAGCTAGTCAACAAGCTGAATTAATAAGATTCCTCAATACTAGTATTCATATAGAGATTAAAGATATTAAGAGTACCTAGTTGAAGTATTTGAGTATATAAGTAATGGAGTTTTATGATGTTGCTACATGAGTTCCTGTCTTTTGAGACCAATCACTCGACTCTCTAGTCCTACAAGTGATAAAATTCGGTAGTTTATTCAAGATTATAAAATATGTGGGAGTTGCATGTCGTTTCTACAATTCGTGTCTTTTGATACCAATCACTTTATCTCTGGTTCTACGTGTGATATAATTGGTTGCTTAAAGATGGAATTTTTGCCCTTCAGTTTTATGATGTTGCTACAGATGTATCTTTTTAGGCCAATTATTGATCTCTGGTCCTAGAAATGATAAATTGGTAGTAAGATAGAAAATTTGCCCTCTTTTCCTCACTGTTTCTTGCAAAACGAACCCTTTTCTGCAACCACACTGAAAAACAGCTGAAGTATCCACCTTGTGGAGGATAAATGCGAAAGAGAACAGTTTGCCATACTGTTTTTTTATGAAAAAGATTTTTTATTTTATTTTATTTTTTTGTGAATATTTTGATGAATCTATGTAAATGGTGAAGTTGATGATAAAAATATATCTGAAATATGCACCAAATTTTGCTGTGTATGAACAGAAACAAGTATGACAAGGTTCACCCCCCCCCCCCCCCCATTTATTGTTCTTTGTTAGTGATAGCACATTCAAGTTATTCTGCAGTACATAGTAGATATAACTTTCTTTATGGATGAGGAGGCTTTTCACTAACTTGCAGATTTATGCTATGGCAATTATTTATATAGCTAGCTTTATTCCTTATTTGCTCTTAACTATAATATGATGCTGCAATTAATTGACCCTTAATTGTGATACTTGTATCTGTGTTCAGTATTGACATCACAAAAGCTTGTCCCTAACTGGGTTGAAATATTTTCTCAGGACCTGCAAGGTGTTACCGCCAGATTAAGAACAAGCCTTACCCAAAATCACGGTTTTGCCGTGGTGTCCCAGATCCAAAGATCAGGATCTACGATGTGGGTATGAAGAGAAAGGGAGTTGATGAATTTCCTTTCTGTGTGCACTTGGTAAGTTGGGAGAAGGAGAATGTTTCAAGTGAGGCACTTGAAGCTGCTCGTATTGCTTGCAACAAGTACATGACCAAGTCTGCTGGAAAGGATGCTTTCCACCTCAGGGTTAGGGTTCACCCATTCCATGTTTTGCGAATTAACAAGATGTTGTCATGTGCTGGGGCTGATAGGCTCCAAACTGGTATGAGAGGAGCTTTTGGTAAGCCGCAGGGAGTCTGTGCCCGTGTTGCTATTGGTCAGGTTTTGCTCTCAGTTCGCTGCAAAGATGGCAATGCTAACCATGCTCAAGAGGCTCTTCGCCGTGCTAAGTTTAAGTTCCCTGGCCGACAAAAGATCATTGTCAGCAGAAAGTGGTATGACTTTTATCTCACTAGTCACCTTTAATTTTAATGTCTCTGTGTTGGTTTTGAGGACTAGATAATTTCCCATACTAAATTATGTTTGGTTATGAAGGATTGGCTTGTCATTGTGCTATTCCTTTGTTATGACAATTATACATTTCTGTAGGTTAATGGTTTTAATAGTCATTGAGTTGGTTTAGGGAGATACATTCTCAACCCATATCACATGTTAGCTATACATTCTCAACTCATATCACATAGTAGCTCAATGTCAGTTATTTGTGTCCCCTGGATCATCGTTTGGTCTCTTTTTCTAATATCGTTAAAGGGGAGTAATCTCTGGGGGATCTCCGTTCTTCCAAAAACTTGTAAAGTGCCTAGAACAGGATCTGTTCTATGGGCTTGTACCACTGCATCTCTGTAATGTGCTTGCTTTAATTGCCAGGGGGTTCACTAAGTTCAGCCGTACTGATTATTTGAAGTACAAATCTGAGAATCGTATTGTCCCAGACGGTGTCAACGCCAAGGTTTGTTCCATAAATAGTCTATTAATATTACAAGCTGCATTATGATAGAATTGTATATCAAATCTTAGTGCTTCTTATGTTTTTGCAGCTTCTTGGCTGCCATGGACGACTTGCTGCACGTCAACCTGGAAGAGCTTTTCTAGAAGCTGCAAACTGAAGTTGCAGAATTTACGAATCTGAACCTTTAGTTTTCTACTTCCGCTGAATGAAATTTTGTGTCCTAGTTTTGAACCATTACATAAGTTGTTTTACCGCTCTGAATGTTTTACCTTTTCAAAATATAATGATCGACTTTTATTTAAATGATGAGTTTTAATTTTCATTTGCTGTCCTTAGGCGTTCTGCTTCGTTTCTTACCCATGCGAGCTGCATCTTAATTTGTTCCATCATTGGGTTTGATTAATGAAATACTGCAGCATACAAAATTTTCCCGACTGTTTTTGGACGGTATCGGTTTCTGTATGGTACAATAGTGTCTGCAAATGAGTTACTGCTATCTTGATTGATCAATATAAATAATGAGGCAGTTAGTGACTCATTATTATACAACTAGCCAAGCTCATCTGTGCTGAAAAAACTTGACAACTTACCTAATATGATGAAAAGCTATGCATAGCAGCAATCTATTGAGCAATGGTAGTATTATCTTGAATGGTTCCCTGTGAGGAACCGAACTATTTCACTCACATACAATGGGGTTTTGAATGTTAGAAGCCCGGTCAAGAAGTTCTATTAAAGGTAAGGGTGGCAACGGAACCGGGAGGTTCCGGTTCCGGTTCCGGTCCGTTACCGGTTCCGTCTCGGTTCCGGATAGTGCCGGTTATATCCGGACTTGTTCCGGTCCGGGAGGGGTAACGGGACGGAAACCGGGATTTACCGGTTAGTCCCGGTTCCGGTCCGGTTCGGAACTTTTTTTTTTTTTTTTTTTTTTTAAATCTGAAAATTTGAAAAATAGCCGTTGAGAGCCGTTGGGCAACGGGTTTTGGGCCCCACCAACGGCTCTTTCACCCCATAACCCCCCATTTACACCTCCCTATCCCCCAAACTTTTTTTAATACCCCAAACTTCCTAAAACTACATTTTCAACCTTTTTTTTTAACTATAAATACCCCTAATCTTTCATTCTTTTCACTCACAAAAATATCTTATAATCTCTCTACTCTCTACTCTCTAAATTCTCTTATTCTCGACTTCTCGTTAAAATTACGAATTTAATCTTTGGAAATTGGAGCTTCAAAATTCAACTTTCAATTTTCGCCTTCCGTTCATACACGTCTACTTTTTTAAGTAGACGTTTGGTACATTCGTTCCAACTCACTTTTCATTTAGTTATTTATTTGTTTACATTTAATTATTTATTTTGTGAGTAATTAATCTCTAGTCTCTACTTATTTAGTTGTTTATTTGTTTAAAACTTTGCTAATCATTTTCGTATTATATATAATTTGCTCACTTTTTATATTTTGAATATGGATTTTGGAAAAAACATTATTGAAAAGGGTAAAACAACCATAGTTAATTCGTTCACTAATTTATCTAGCTCAAAATCCAAGAAAAATAAAAAAACCGGTAGTACTTCTCAATCTAAAACTAAAAAAACTTCTCAATTAAGAATAAATACGGATGATTATACGCATGTTGATGAAACTGTTTTTAATATTGATAGTAATAGTGGATTAGATCCTTATCATGAACATTTACAAAGAAGATTTGGTAATTTTGAAGAGGAATTACCTGAAGATGATGAACATGATGTTAATGATTATGTTGATAGTTTTGATAATAATGTTGATGAATATGATGATGATGAAACTGAGCCACCGTCGGCTACTAGTCCCCCTCCCAATCCATCTTCCCCGGCTCCCGCTCCCTTTCGTTGTCCTGCTCCCATTCCCCCCGTGCATCCTAGGACTAAGGTAGAACGCGCTAAAAAATCAGTTGTGTGGCAATTTATGACTCAGAATGAAGATAAAACACAAGCTATTTGTAATAAATGTAAACATAGAATGAATCATAAAACTGTAGGAAAACAGGGTGGGACGGGACATTTGAGTAATCATTTAATGTCATGTTGTAAAAATGAATTTTTGCATGCTAAAGCTGTAGCCGAAGCTAAAAAAAATGGTACCACCCTTCTTGAAAATGTAGGAGTAGATGGCTCTAATATGGTCCAAACACAATTAAATCCTTCTAATGTTTCTGGTTCTAGTATACAACGGTCATATAGTAGAGAAAAAGATTTTGAAGAATTAGCTAAAATGATTGTTGTTATGGGTTTGCCATTTAGTTTTGCTGAAAATCCCGGTTTTATTCATTATATTCAAATTGTGTATAATTCACATTTTAAAGGTTTTACTAGAAATACAATTAAAAAGGCTATCTTTGATTATCAAGCTCAACATTTTCAATAACTTCGTTGTTTATTTTATTATAACAATTGTAAAATAGCTATTACTTCTGATATGGGCCGTAGTGTAAATGGTAATGATTATTTCACAATTACTGCGCATTGGATTGATGAAAATTGGACTTTGCAAAAAAGAATTTTAGGTTATAAATGTTGTGAAATGCATAAAACTGGTAGTTATATAGCTCAAACAATTATAGATGTTTTGCAAAACTATGGAATTTGTGATAAAATAAGTAGTGTCACATTAGATAATGCTTCTAATAATAGTAATGCTGTTGAAATACTAAAACCGTCTCTTTGCCCTATTTATATTGATGGTTTTCATATTAGGTGTGCTGCACACATATATAATTTGATTGTTAGAGATGGTATAGTAATATATGATGATGGTTGCACAAAAGTTGAAACTGCATGTCATTTTATTTTTAAATGTCAAGTTAAGTCTATACGTAGAGATTTTGAAAATCGTTGTCGTGAATTTAATCTTCCACCTAGAAAAATTCCAAAATCAGTGTGTACTAGATGGAATTCTTTATTTGAAATGCTTGAAGTTGCTTATGAATATAGGAAACCTTTACAAATGGTTTGGAATGCTCATAATTCAAATATGACATATAGACTTGATGATAATGATTGGAATGACATAAAAGAACTTATAGAATTCTTAAAAGTTTTTTATTTAACTACAAAAAAAATATCTGCACTTTATTATCCAACAATTTGCTCTGTTTTACCTAATATTTGTGCTATTTCTACTAAATTTTATAAATTCAAAAATAAACCAAGATTTGAACAATCTGTTAAGAAAATGATTGAAAAATTTTAAAAATATTTTATTCCTATTCCTCAAATTTATTTAACTGCTTATTTGTTAAACCCACATTACAAAGATGAAGGTGCATCATGAATGGTTGATAAAATATATTTTAATTTGGGTATTGATAGTGAAGATGATGAAACACCTAGTTGTCAAGATGTTAAAGATAGTATAAAAATTGAAGCTAGAAAACTGTACGACTTGTATAATTCTAATATAAGGAATGTAGTACATAACGAAGAGCCTCAAAGTTCTAGGAGTAGATATAATAATGAAGATGATATTGATGATATGATAGATTGTATTATTGAACTTTCTCATAATGATAGAAATGATTTTGATGCATATATTAATCAAAATACAGAACCTACTACTATTGATCTTCTAGAATGGTGGAGTAATCGCGGCAAAGGATTTCCAAAACTACAACCGGTTGCTCGAGATGTGTTAGCTATTCAAGCATCTTCAGTAGCTTCGGAAAGCGCTTTTAGTGCAGCAAGATTTCAAATTGGAGAGCATAGATATTCATTAGCAGCAGATAGATTGGAGATATCCGTACTATTTAGAGATTGGATTAATGGCGAGAGAAGGAGTTATGGTCGTCCACCTCTACCGACCAAATTTGAAAATGACGTTGATGAAATAATGCTAGATTTTAGTGATGACGGCATTGATGCAATGGAAGAACTAGCTAATCAACCAATTCCAGAGCATGTTACTAGAGAAATGTTAAATGATTTAAAAAAAGATTTCCTTGGTAGCATGAACTATTAAATTTAAATGTCTATTAGTATGAGTATAATAATTCGAGGTCTAATTCAAACAGAACCCTTCCTAGAAGATGGCTGTGTAGATTAGATTTTTTAATACTCTACTAATATTTTGTAACTCAACTTGTACTATTTAATTAATATTAATAAAAGTATAGGCTATTCGCCTTAATTTTTTATTATTATTGTCTTCAAAAGTTCAAATTTAACTTTTAAAGTGTGAAATTTAAACTTTTATAGTTTTAAAGTTTAAAATTTTCAAACTTTTAAAGTGTGAAATTTAAACTTTTATAGTTTTAAAGTTTGAATTTAAATTTTCAAACTTTTAAAATTTAAACTTTAAAGTGTGAAATTTAAATTTTTATAGTTTTAAAGTTTATAATTCAAATTTAAATTTTCAAACTTTTAAAGAGTAAAATTTAAACTTTTATAGTTTTAAAGTTTGAATTTAAATTTTCAAAGTTTTAAATTGTGAAATTTAAACTTTTATACTTTTAAAAGTTTGAAAGTTTGTATTTAAAACTTTAAAAGTATAAATTTTTAAGTGTAATATTCCTAATTTTTTAATTTTAATAAAAAAATATAATTTATAACGGTTGGACCCGGTTTCCGGTCCGGTCCGGTCCGGGACGGGTACAGGTATTTTTTTCCGGAATTACCGGTTCCGGTCCGTCCCGGTTCCGGTCCGTCCTGGTTCCGTGGTGCCCGGTTCCGTTCCGGTTCCGGAATGTCCCGGTCCGGTAGTTCCGTTACCGGTTCCGTTGCCACCCTTAATTAAAGGTCGGTAACCGAAATGCCAATGATTCTTAGTAGTATTTGAAGGACACATTTAGAAAGAAGCACTCATCATGGCAACTTGAAGATCCTTGATATAACATCTTTGAAGATTTCCAAATAAAAAGAACGAATATGCTCTTCCAAAAGTAACAAGCTAAGTTGCTTAAGAGCATTGTTAAGCAAAGTAAAAATGGAGCAACAGAGCTGCAGTTGCATTTCTTCAACTGTCAAGAGTTTCCAAGGCAAGTAGCCTAATTAGCTATTGGCAAATGAGATTTACTACCAAATATTTTAACATGTCTTGCAAAATTTTCAGTAAACTATGATATGCTTACCCACAACAAAGGGTTTAATTTCTCACATGCCTACAGAATGATGCTTCTTTACTTTCTTCTACTACTGCGTCTCGTGGCTGAAGCCACTACTACAGAGACTTCTTCTTTAGCTATTGTTGGAACTTCTGATTTGTTCTTTCTGTTCTTTGTTTCACTCTTTGGTGTTTCTTCAGCTTCACTCTCTCCTTTTTCAGCACCGGATTTATCCACTTC